CATCAGTTTGCTCAACTGTAGAGTAAGGGGATTGCACTAGATAACCTCTCATTGAGATGGATGTGGGTCTGGACTCAGAGTTCCTTGGTTCTGACTGACCCTACCTCTGCTACGTTCTGTCTGTGTGACCTTAGACTGGTCATTTGACTTCTTGGAGCCTCCGTTTTCTCATCTGTAAAGTTGGGTAGGGAAGACATTGGATCAGATGACCTATTAAGCGTCTTCTGCCTCAAATCTATGATCCTATGAGGCTATGAGTCTGTGATCTGGTCGTTTTATGTGATGATTTCTGGCCCCCGAAGTCTAAGCCTTGGGTGCCATCTTGTGGCAAGAAAGAATATAGACTTGTGTATGGACTGAAAATATTACAAAGGACCTCAGAGGTCATAGGATCCAGATTTGGGTCCCAGGAGTCATCTAGGGAGCGTAATGATGAGGGGATGTCCGCCCAAAGGAGTTAAGTGACTAGCTCAGGATCGCCCAGGGAGCGAGTGACGGCAGCAGCATGTGAAACCGGATCTTGAAATGCCCTGGGGCAGCAGGGCAGCACTCTACTCTCAAGAATCACATCTCTAACATCCAGACACCCAGCTGTCTAACATCTGCTTGGGCATTTCCATTGACGGGAAGCTCAGTACCTTGGGGAATGGGCCATCGCCATCTTGAATGGTTAGAAAGTACCCCTCTGGGATGAGCTGAAGCATGCCTTCCTGTGACTTCTGCTGATGAGTCCTACTTCTGCTCTCTGGAATCACACCTTCCCCCTCCCCCCCAAAAAAGATGCCCACTCTTTCTAGATAATGGCACCTACCTTACAGTGTGGTGGTGAGGATCAAATGGGATAACATACGTAAAATGCTTCAATGCTAGATAAGGTTAGCTTGTTATCCCCCAAATGCCGATCCCCTCCCTTAGAGCTACCTTGTATTTATCCACTTTGTGTGTACATTATTTGTTCTTTTCATATTTATTGTGCATTTATATGTGTATGTATATGGGAAGACAAGTATATATATATATGTGTATATGTGTGTGTGTGTGTGTGTGTGTGTGTGTGTGTGTGGACTTGTCTTCTCCCATTGTAATAAACACAAGCTCTTTGTGAGTAGGAATTGCTTCATTCTTAGTATTTATATTCCCAGGCTTAGCACAGCGCCTGGAACACATGAGGGGCTTAGTAAATATTTGCTGATTGACTAAGTGCCCTGCCTAGGGTCGTACAGCTGTTAAGCGACTGAGGAGGAATAGGAAGGTGAGCCCAGCACTCTATCTATATCCCTTTCCTGTCCAGTATTTCCTGTACCATGGTCTTGGCACCTCGGCTGACGGTTCTCCATTGACTGTGAGGCCTGTTTGCCTGAGAACTCACTCTTCTGTTTACCTGGGTTTATTCACTAATCCCCTCAGCAAGCGAAAGCCCCCGATTGGGTGTACTTCTAGCTACTCGGCTAATTCCCTGCTTCCCGGTGCCTACTGACTCGACTTGTGCTTGGCCAGAGGTTTTTGTAAATCCCTATAAAATGAAACTTGGAGCCTTCCACCCTTTGCATCTTCTTTTGGATGTCAAACAGAAGAGGTCAGCGGGGATGGGCTGAATAACTCAGAGTATATGAATGGGGTGGGGAAAAATGAAAGTGATGGTTTCAGAGAAACCCAGGCAGACTTAGCTGAACTTTGAAAGACTGAGAAACTCTGACGGCTGCAGTTACCAACCACAATTCCAGAGGAGTCGTGATGAAGCATCAGACCCACTTCCTGTCAGAGGGGGGCTCATTGTGCAGACTGAGGGATAGTTTTTGGACATTTTTTGCTTGACTATACATGTTTGGAATGGATTTTGTTTTTCTTTTCTCAATGGGGTGGTGAGGGGAGAGTTAAGAGGGAAATAAGGCAAATGTTAAAGTTTCATTTACTGAAAAAAATGCTATATGTAAGAGGAAAAACCCCATGACCCTTAGTACAGTCTGCCTCATTTTCCAACACTTTGCCACCATCACTACAGAATCAGTATCTAGTAGATGCAGAGTACTAAAAGCCATTAGTTTCTGAGTTGCTGTGGTCAAAGAATTCACAGCCTTCATTCATAGAATTCACTAACCTCCCGATGACGAGCCTTTCCATACCGACCTAGGCTTGCCCTTGGGTAGCCAGTGACATGTAGTACTGGGACCGTAGGAAATTATAGGGGACAAAATAGATGGCATTAATTATATAAAAAAAAAGATTCTTTGTACAACGTCAAGAAATAAAAGAAAGGAAAAGGCTGGAAAATACATTGGGAAAAATTCTGGTAAAAGATGGACATAAAAATTCTATGGAATGGTCGAAAGAGACAGAATGGCCTAATTGATAGAAAGTTGACCTCAGAGTCGGGACCATCTTACATTAGTAGTAAAGCTGGAAATTCCTGTAATCTTTTTTTAAGCAATATGGCATTATAGGAGTATATTAGAGCAATTAGGTGATGCAGTGGATAGAGCACCAGACCTGGAGTCAGGAAGACCTGCATTCAAATATGGCCTCAGATGCTTATTAGCTGTGTGACCCTGGACAAGTCACTTAACCCTGTTTGCCTCAGTTTCCTCATCTGTAAAATGAGTTGGAGAAGAAAATGGCAAACCACTCCAGTATCTCTGCCAAAGAAACCCCAAATGGGGTCATGAAGAGTTGGACACAACTGAAAAATTATTGAACTGAACGTGGCATTATACAATAAGAGCTTTGAAACTTATTTTCTATATGGTCTGATTATCTAATTGCAAGGACTATAGACTCAGGATGTTATTGGCATTGGGAACATTTTTCAAAAAATCAGTTCACAATAGCAAAAAACACTGGAAACCCACAATATATTGCTCCGTAATCGGTGACTGGCTAAATGAAATGTGGCAGAGGAACATAATAAACCATTGTTTCAACATAAGAACTGAAACATACAAAGAAAGCAGAAAGTTTGAGAGGATAACATGAGGTGATGCAGACTGGAGAAAATAACAATGAGATACCCAATGGATAAAATGATTTAAATTATGTGATTGTGACAGCAGCTCATCTCAGGAACTACACAGAAGAAAAACATCAGAGTGGGACATGGACACACAGGGGACTTTTCGTTACTTGTTTGTCAAAATGAATATATACTTAAAAACCAAAATGACAGAACGATTGTTTCGTGTACAAAGTTTTTTAACTGTTGCGTATGCAAACGTTTGTTGATGAGTCCATATGAACTGTTATTAACTATAGATGAAGTTATATGCCTGTAGAAGTGAGGGCTCAAGGGGGAGGGGAATACGAAAACTCACCTGGTACTAAAAGAGGATTTGGAGAAAACGATTAGATTTGTTCTGCTGAGCCCTAGAACCAGGAGTGAGGTAGATATAGGCTTCACTGAAGGAAAGAATTCCTAATAGTAAGAGAATCCCTGAAGTGAGATGTGCTGCATTGGAAGGGAGGGGTAGAATCAAGTCCCCAGTCATTGGAGGTCGTCATACTAAAATTGAAAGACTAATTTGCAGTGATGACATAAAGGGAACTGGGGAGAGTAGGAGACATGTTCAGGTATTGGCTAAAATGAGAGGCAGTGTGGTGTAGTGTGTAGAGAGCTGGCCTTGGAGCTAAGAAGGTCTGAGTTCAAGGTATGCTCTGAGATATCCTGTGACTCTGGTACTCTAGGCAACTCTCAGGGCTATAAGTTGCAGAAAAGGCGCCAGCTTCCATTGGTAGAGGGAACTTTCTCACCTGTCAGGAAAATAACATTGAACTTACAGGTCTGGTCCCTGTGCTCATTGGTTGGATTAGCTGACCTCTAAAATTCTAGAATGACCGTATGTTTCTTACTCTTAAAATCCTAACTCTCTGGGTAATTCCCCTCCTTTGTTTCTTAATGATTATGTCATTGGAAACCACATGGAAGGGAGCAATGGAAATAACTGTACTTCACACTTGAATTAGCTCAATCATAGTGATTATACAACCTTCAAAACTTCACATTCCAGGTCATTTCTATATTTTAAAAAAATATTGTACATTTTCAAAAACATATATAAGCTAGAAGGTCAAAGAATATGAACCAATAGTTTTCAAAGAAAGAAATCCGAACTATCGATAACCATATGAAAAAAATGTTCCACACCACTAGTGATTAGAGAAATGCAGATTAAAGCAATTCTCTTCTACCTCATATCCACCATATTAGCACTGTCAAAAACAAAGGAAAATGAGATGTTGGAAGGGCTACGGGTAAAAGGACACAGGCACACTAGTGATAGAAGTGAGGATTAGTCTAGTCCTTCTGGAAACAGTTTGGAACTAAACCCCCAAAGTCATTAAGCTATTCAACTGCATATACTCTTGGCCCAATATGCTACTATTATGCTTACAATGCAAAAAGGTCAACAAAAGAGGAAAAGAACCCAAATGTACAAAAATATTTACAGCAGCTCTTTTTATGGCAACAAAGAACTGGGAAGTAAGGTGGTTCACATCAATAGGTGAATGGCTTAATAAGTTTTATAATATTATAGAATATTATCATGTCACAAGAAATGATGAAGGAGAAGGTGTCAGAGAAACCTGGAAAGACTTTTATGACCCGATGCAGAGGAAAGCAAGCAAAGCCAGGAAAAGAACTTGTTTAATAATGATATTGTAAAACTAAAACTCTGAGAGACTTGAGAACTCTAATCAATGCAATGACCACCATAACACCAAAGGACCAGTGATGAAACATGCCCCACTACCCATCTTTTGACTGAGAGGTGATGGACTTAGGGTAATGAATGACACTTTTTTTAGACATTACCAACACAAGAATTTGTTTCACTTGACTATGTATATTTGTTATAAGGATTTCATTTTTCTTTTTCAATGAGGAGGATGGGGGGTGGAGAAAAATGATAGATTTTGTTTAATTTTAAAAAATAAAATTTAATTTAAAATGAAGTCAGACATAACTTGATTTAGTTTCAAAGTGGGGTAATTTCTTTTTCTCTTTCTAGATTTCACTCCATCATGGCTAGAATCCCTCGGGAAAATAGGTTACCTACAAAATTAGACAGAAGCTTAATGCAATCCATCAAAAATGCACAGATCTGCACACCAGGTAAATGGAATCCAATCTAACTTGTTAGATTGGAGTCATGGAACTAACAACCCCAAAGAGAAGTTGAGAGGTGGCCTCTCACCATCCTATGTGTCCTCCTCTAGATCCTGACCAGTTTGTCTATGTTATTCCCAAAATGCAACCCCAAGAAGTGTTCCAAGAACACAGTATCATAGACGTTGTTTGGCCATGATAGAGTCCAGGGGCTCTACCATCTTGAACAATCTGTCTATTGGGCCTCTCTTAACAAAGCTTAAAATGGCATTGATTTTTTTGGCTTCTGTGTCATACTTGTGTGCTTATACTGAACCTGCTAAAACCCCCTAGATCTTTCTTTCACTGTTGCCACACTTTTCCTATCTTATACTCAGGAAATTGATTTTAAAAAATGTAAGGCTGAAACGTAAGGCGTTAGCATTACCTCTAAAATCACATCTTGTTGAATTCAGCATATCTTTTTTTTTCAGTCAAAGACAAGGTTTATTAAAGATCCGCCATATTAGCCAGACTCTTGAGGAATCTCAGAGTCTGTGAGATATTGGCTAGATTTTGAGAATCTGAGCCAAAATTCAGCAAATCTTTAAAATAACTCTTGGGATCCAGACTTTTTATTCCAATGTGATCTTTCCCAATTTTGTGTCTTTCCCAAAATGTGTCATTTGCAAATTTAGTCTTCATTAAAAATCTTGATGAAATGTTGAACAGTCCAAGGCCAAGGACAAATCCTTGAACCATTCCAGCAGAGATGTCTTTACAAGTTAGCATTGACCTATTAACAATAGCTCTTTGGGTTTAATCATGAATTCATGGTTATGAATTCACATAGCCATAATACTGTAACAGCCATAAAAATACCACCTGTGATTTCATTATCTTTAGCAATTCTGTACCTTTCCTCCATTGGTATCATTAGTGCCCCTTCGAATCACCCTAAGTAGGTCATTTGATTTAACAAGTCTTGGGAGGTGCTTTGCTGAGTCCTGGATTCATGCTGTAAAAAGACAGAAGACTTTTCTATTGCTATAGAATATCAGCAAAAAACTGCTTCATTCCTCTTCTGTAGAAGGGCACCAATCACCACAACTTTTATCTCTTTCCTATGACCTGGGCTACCGAAGGGTAACCTTTAGATCACTGGACCACAAAACATCCAAGGTAGAAGGGACTTCAAAATTCATCTAGTATGGTCCATATCTTACCAAGAATTGTCTTACAAACATACTTGGCAAATAGTCATCTAACATTTGCTTGAAGACTTTCAATGACCTTCAAAGACCTTCACTAGCCCTTGAGGCATTATATTCTATTTTTGACTCCAAATCCAATGTCCTTTCCCCTATACCATATTAGGAAGTGTTTCGTATAAGCAAACCTCAATTTGCTTTTTTTACAACTCCATAGATCTAACAGGAAGTAATCTCAAAGTCTGTTTAGTCTAACCTTCCCCTACAACTTTACAGATGAAGAAACTGAGGCTCGGGGTGGTTAAGTCTAACCCTTCAAGCCTACCTGAAGGAAGCTCTTTTGCCTTCTCCAGCACTGAACACAAGAGGGACTAGGGAACAAGAAAAGAAAGGCTCCTGGATCATGGGCATGCTTCTCATGATATTCTGAAATGTTTCACAAGGGCCACCACGGTCCAAGAAGCAGAGAGAAAGATACCGCCACTGCTCCATTTCCTAAGGCCAGTGCTGCCATCTTCTGGTGTCTGCAAAACACGACATTTCTAATCATCACAGTGAGGAGTGCAAAGGATTGAACAGAGGCAGATGCTTCCTCTCTTCTTCTGCAGTCTCTCGTCCCTAGGCAGAGTCCCCATCCCAACACTCCCTGTTTCTCAGAGGTGATGTTGAGGCACGTGAGGAATTCACGCACACGTCATTTGTTACTTCAGAGTAACTTATTATTTTTTTCACCAGAGAGGTGTTCTTGAGAAATTGAATAACAATTCATTTTTTAGAAATCCAAATGATACCATGATTCTCCAGAACAACCCACTTTAAGGAAATCCTATGCTGAATAATTTTAGAAATTAAATAACTGAAGACATAGCTAGAGAATATTTGTAGAGCTGATTAGAGTTGGATGTGGATATAATAATGTATGTAATAAAATACTATGTATCTGTGAGCCGTTATTATTCGCTGGATCTCAGCATTTGGCAAGGTCTTTCAGGTTTTCCTTGTTTAGTAAATGTTAAGTATGTTGCAAATGCAGAATTCACCTATGTAGAATCAGAAATTGCTTGTTGCTTGATTAAGATAATTCAGACCCAAAGATAGATATTAAAGAGTTGATGTCGATTTGAACTTTAGTCGAATGCATTATAGATCTATGCTTGGTCCTGCGCTGTTCAGCTTTTTTTTTTTTTTTTTATCAATGACATGGATTAAGGCATAGATCAGTCAGTCAGTCAATAATCATTTATTAAGCACCTACTGTGTGCCAGGCAGTGTACTAAGCTCTGGGATACAAAGAAAGGCAAAAGACAGTCCCTGCCCTTGAGGAGCTCACAACCTAATGCCGTATTTGACATGCTTATCTAATTTTAAGATGATTCAAAGCTACAAGAGATAGCTAAGGCATTGCATGATACTGTCAGAGTCCAAAAAGGTTTTGCCTGATTAGAATGCTGGTCGAATTTAACAGGTTGAAATGAAATAGAGATAAACGCATTTTAACAGCTATCATTTGTAAAAGGTTTAGATTTTATTTATTTGTCTCCAGAAGGCAAAACTAGAAGCAACAGGTAGAAATTGAAGAGTCAGATTTCTTCTTGATATATTGAAAAGTCATTAGACCTGCATGAAAATTGAACAAACTGTCTTGAGAAGTGCTAGATTCTATTGAAGAATTCAACTGGAGGCCAGCTATCTTATCAGGGAAGTCAGAAAGGACCTTCCTTTTCTCTGATGGAATAGATAACTACAAATGTATGCCTCAGACTTTTGGATCACATGAATAAGAAGATGGCCAACTAGACATTTCCCCCCATCTTTCAAAACTCTCTGTAACAGAAATTATGCACCAAAGATGAACAACTTCAGCTATCTCTCTGGCCTAGGAGACCATGAATCTGAAAGAAGGTTTAAAAAAAACCTCAGGAACTGCCACTCATTGACCCTGCATTCACTCATCAACCCCGCCCCCCATCTCCCATGCTACTGGCGGCAAGGTCACATTAGCAAACCCAAGGACATGACACAGACAACAAAGCTCATCCCTACACCACAGTCCCTCATCAGACTCTCCAGCACCATGGAGACCCCAGATCCAGGCTATAGAAGTTTGCTTAGGTCTTGACAGCCAGCTTGACCATACTCCTTCAGTATCAAGAGCCTTTGGGGGACTATAATCAGGAAGCACCAGTGCTGCAAAGCTCTGAACTGCCAATGTTGGGGAAATCAGGCTCTGAATTGCTGGTGCCAGGCCAGAGAACTAACGTATAGAAAGAGTTGGTCAGTTCACCAGGTTTAGGACAATCTGCATGTGGGGAGCTGTACAGGCCTGCACCAAGCCTGGGGGAAGAGCACAGCATGTAACCGGAACCAACTTTGACCATGCAAAAGTCATTTGGGGCAGAGACCTAGGCTGGTCAACCATGAATTGCTCAGTGTGGGAAGACACTAAGACACTTTGCAGTCTAGGTCCTCCCTCCCCACCCTGAACAAAAAAAAAATCAGAGGGGAAGGGTCAGGAAATGAGTGATAAGGAAAACAAGGGAGGGAAAAAGACTGAAAATACAAAAGATTTCAGGAAAAAGAAAACAAAAGACCTTGAACACAAACAAACAAATCAACAAGAAAAACACTAACATAAGGAAATACGGCCTCAAGATCTAATAAATGAGTTCAGGCATCTCTGAACAAATACGGCAAAATAGAGGGAAATGATCCAATAGTTGATGAGACAGAGGACCCTGTGGAATTTAAGGAAGATATGGAACCACAACACACTGTCTCTGAGTGGTTTAAAAGATAAATGAGAATTATGAGAGCAGAATGTATGTTCTATGCAGGAAAAAAGAAAGAAAGAAAAGAAAAGAAAAAAAGAGCAAAATAGAAAAAATTGAATCTGCTGCAATGGAAAGCCTCACAAAAGAAACAAAAGAGAGAACAACAGTTTGGTAATGCAAACGCACAGAAGTGAAAGACAGAAGAAGGAAAGCAAAAAAAAGAAACATTAAAACAAAATATGCTCACTATACAAAACAAACAAACACATTGAACTCAAAAACAGGTTGTGTAAAGACAACCTAAGGATCATAGGTGTCCCATAAAAATATGACAGGACAAAAAACCATAACACCGTAATGAAAGAAGAGATGAGAACTACCCAGAACTTCCAAACACAGAAAATAAAATTCTAATTGAAGAACTTTACAGATCTCCTCCAGAAAAATCCTAAGGTCGCAAATTCCAAAGCACATTGTAATCTAAAATTTCCATTTAGGAACCAATTTTGCAAGCCATTAGAAAGAATTTCAAATACAAAGGAAAGGAATCCAAGACTATTCTGCACTCCCTGGAAAAAGGAGGAGGTAATGGAAAAATGTGTTCTGAAGAGTAATGAAACTCAGGATGCATATAGCCCAGGATGAGCTAGACTACAAATCTGAGCTTAACCATGAGGACAAAAGATGGCCACTCAATAATAAAGAAGAGTTTAAATTATTTTAAGAATGAAAACCAGAACTGGAGAGGTTATTTTTCTTCTTAAACACTCCAAACAACAGAAATGCAGGAGGAGTGAATAAATGTGATGAGAGAAAAAGCAACAGAGTGGCAACAGAAAGATCAGGAAGTAATTCTTTCTAAATGTACACAGGGAGAGAGGGGTGAAGGCAGAACTCTGGTAGAGGCAGCAGTGATGAGGTGGACAGGGGGCATTACGGACAGAACCTGGTAACACCCTGGCTACACGTGAGTGAAGGTCATAGAATGGGCTAGAATATCTAGGAGGACCCGTCCATCCATGAGATTTTGTAACTCTCTAATACCATCATTTTATGGAGACTAAAGCCGGCAGGTGAGATGGGTTCACCTGACGTAGGGCTGGAAGGGACTCCAGAGGCCATACCATCCAGCCTCCTCATTTTGCAATTGACAACACTGAGTCAGAGAGGTACAGTCACACAAAGTTGGTGTTCAAACTCAGGTCCTGGACCCTCTAATTTGGCTACTTTTCCTGCTGAGAGATAGAATAGGAATGGATAAAAAATGGATAAAAACAGATGAAGATTTCTGGCCTCAGACACTTACTAGCTTGACCCTGGGCAAGCCACTTAACTCCAATTGCTCCAAAAAACAGACATGAACATCGATTACAGTAATTCCACAGAGAAGTTTAACTGACACAAATTACATAACAGGAAACCAAAGCAACCTAAAAACTACCTTAATCAGCAAATACTTGCTTACTTGCCAAGTGAAGAGAAATGGAAGTAAAAGGCAATGATGATTTAGGAGATAAACTCATCTGTAAAATCTAAGTGAGAAATATGGTAGAAGAAATGTCTCATAAAACAGAGAAGAGCAGTGGAGGGGAAAACCAACTCATAGAAAGTTTGATAAGAGACCGAATAATGCATGTACATATCAAACTGGAGAGAAGGCAATGGACAAAAGGGGAAAGATACGCACAGATTTTTTTTTTAATGAATTCTTCCTTATTGAGGACTGTGGAGAACTCCCAACTGGACCCCAAGGTTTGTATGTTTTTAGTGGAGATGTACTTATAGAGGAGGCAGAAATAGCACTGTGGGGGACCAAGATGGAAAAAGCAGATGATCAGACCAAGCACACATAAGGGAAGTATGTGCTGGAGGCAACACAAATGTGAGGGCACTGAGGAATTGATTTTCAAGTTATCTGAAGTAGGAGGAGATACCAAAGTCATGGGGGGTGGGGAAATCTCTGATGTTATTACTATCAAAACTCATAACTAGGCGATTTTAACCAAACTCAGTTTGATTAAACTTCCAGGTTTTATTTCTAATTTTCTAGCTAGATGACATTTGAAATGAAAACAATCAACACACATTTAAGGTAGCCTTTATGTTGATTTTAGAATGGACCATGCATGATTTCACAGCTTGTATTCATTCCATGGTAGATTGCATCTCTCCTATTTCACAAAGGACTGAAAAACATAGCAGATGCAAGTTCACACTATGCTTATTGTTTGTTGATTATGTAAAAAAGTATTTCCTCTACCTTTCCAGAATTCTTACACCTTACACCCCCAGCCCTAATATTCTTCGATCCAATGGCATTGGCCTCCGTGCTCTTTCTCAAACAAGACACTTCATTCCCAACTGCAGGCATTTTCTCTGGCTATCTCCCGTACCTGAAATGGTCTCCCTTTTCATCTCTGCCTCCTGCTTTTCCTGACTTTCTTCAAGTCTCAACAAAAATCTTACCTTTTAGAAGAAGGCTTTCCCAAGGCCTCTTAATTCTAATGCCTTCCCTTTGTTGTTTATTTCCAATTTACCCTGTGTATAGCTAGTTGTACATAGTTGTAGTACATAGTACATAGTACATAGTACATAATACACAGTGCATGTTGCCTCCCCCATCAGACTGAATTCCTCAAGGGCAGGGACTGTCCTTTTGCCTTTCTTTGTAAACACAGCACTTATTAGAGGGCCTGGCACATAGTTGGTGCTTAATAAATGCTTATTGACTAATAGTAGAGTTTGCCACCTTAAAATGTTATCCTCCAACAAGGAATACATTAAATACTGTAAACATTAATACATTAAGGAATTAAAGAACACATTAAAACTGTACCATATGCTTGAGAGAAATAGCTGCAAAGATAACTTTGTTAGGCAACCCTCTGATAACATCAGAACAGACATGAAACAGGGAGATGTATGCTCTGGGAAGGAGCACCCCACTGTCAGGGAGGAGATCCCCAAGCACTCCAGTTCAAGTTGAAGAAGGATACCCTATAGATGACGAGATCCTCCAATAACTACTTTTTGATGATGACATTGTGCTGATTGCACCAAGCCCTGGAACCTTCTAAATGAGATTCGTAAACATCTAAAAGAATTTGGATTAATAATCCTTACAAGAAAAACCAAGTAGATGAAGAATGCCTGTGTTCTAGTCTCTGACATGAGATTGAATGAACACCATAGAGAGCTCATGCATAAGGATATATATTTTGGACAGACATTGAAATAGAGTTTGACTTATATCCACAATTGAACATGAAGAGGAGAGTAGCCAGATGACCGATGGGAAATTGCACATCCTTGAATGACCTCATATTTTTTCCCTAGAACAAAGACTCCCCTCTTTAATATCCATATTTTTCTGCTATTGGAAGGACATGGTGGATTTGACTCCAAAGTCAGAGAATATTGTGATGTGCAATCCTGCCATGATCTCACAGTGAATAATAATAGTCGTAGCTAGCATTCACATAACAAATTAAAGTTTGCAAAGCACTTTGACATGTAATACATGTGTTGTGAAAGAAATATCACATAATTCACACAACACCAACAACTGAAGGGGGATCATGGCAACTCTACCTAAACTTGCCGAACAATTGAAAGAGAACGATCCAAACTTTGCAAGGTTGTGTAGAAGTTTGAAAATACATCGAGAAGCAAGGCCATGCTATTGTGCACTCCACAACCTCAAAGCTTGAGCCTAAGCCATCCTCCACTTATTATTTTATTTTTTGTCCCCAAATGGCACCATATTCCTCAGAAGATCCCTAACCTTCCATTTCATGGAAGACAAGGTCTCAGCTCAAGCCAAAGCAGCCAACTTCCAATTCGGATGAAGATGATGATGATTCATGAGCTTCATGAGTGAGCACTTGTTCTGCATTGCCCTCCACTGGACCTCACCTTTACCTTCTCTTTCTCTCCCTACTCCTACCACCTCCACACTCACACACCTTCTTTGCTCCTTTTGATAAGCACTATTAACTGAACACTAAACACTGCCTTTTTTTCAGCAGTTTGCATTTTTAAAATGTTGTGTATTTGGATAGAATATTAAATAAGTGTTTCTTTTTACTGTTAGCTATTTACTAATAATACTATCATTCATTCACTATCTAAAATATTTTATGTGCAGTTAAGTAAAAGAAAGAAGTTGGGTAATTTAGTGATGTATATAGTACAAAGGTCTGTAGTTTTGTCATTATATGGAATTCTCTCCAACAGATAAGTCCTAGGGAGTTGAGTGAGACCCATACAGCTAGTGTCAGAGGTGAGAACTGAATCTAGTTCTTTTTTATTTTAAACCCAACACTCATTCCACTCCACCAGGATGCAACCATATAGGACAGTCATTAAATCCACCCCCCACCTCAAGGATGTACAATCCTTGAGGAAAGGGACTATTTTACTTCGCTTTGAATCCCAAGTGCCAAGAAAGCTTAGTGAGAGATCCAACTAAGCAAAGAAATTGCAAGGGTATCTGAGGATGAAACTGGGAGGACAAAAAAGCCTAAGAAAAGATGGAACCGATCTGCACATGTTTTTTCTTAATAAAAAAAGAATTATTTTTACCATCAAAGACAGGGGAGCCATTATCCTTGGGCTCTTAACACTGTGATCCTAGATGTGCTTATAGATATGGTGGAAATAACACTAAAGAAAACAAAGAACAGCAAAGCAACGGGGTTAGACCAGGAGTACGTGGAAGAATGGGGCATTCTGGTGCAACATAATTGTGAGAAAACCAAAGGATATATGCTTAAAGTATCTAAAATAGAGGAAAATACTACAATCATGAAAAATATTTTGGGTATTATTAATGCCAAAAATGGTGGTTGAAAGATCATCAATAACTAATAAACAATATACATACCAACAAGAGCCTATAACCCGTCTGTTCTGGACTCTCTCCCAGGGCCTTCTCCAGTGCTGAGCCCAGAGCAAAGGGCTACTTCTGGGGCCTCTCAGGACTTCTTCATCCCCCTTTCTCATTCTCTGAAATTATATTGGTGTATAATCTGTAATTGCACCTATTGTGGTCTGTTCATTGATTTTCATTATAGTCACTTTAAGCAAAAATGACCAGATTTTTTCTGTGAAATCGAATTTATTGTTGCCTTTGGGTACACACACACACACACACACACACACACACACACAGAGTTTCACTACAATAAAGGCAGCTAGGTGATTCAGTAGCTAAAGCCCCAGACCTGGAGTCAAAAGACCCGAGTTCAAATTTAGATTCAGACACTCACTAGCTTTGTGACCCAGACAAGTCACTTAACCTCTGTATGCCTCAGTTTCCTCAATTGTAAATTAGGGATCATAATGACACCTACTTTCCAGAGTTGAGGATACATTGAGATATTTGTAAAGTACTTTGCAAACCTTAAAGGGCTGTATAATGAGACTGGGGGTTGATTGGGTCGAGCACTCAGTAGAATAGTTACTAACCCTTATAACATATATGCATAATAAAGTACAACTAATTCCTGCATTGGCTATGTCCAACAGTTTTATCTCAGTTTGCACCCTGACTTTTATCAGTTCTGTGTCAGGAGATGGGCAGCTCATTTCATCACTAGTCCTTTGGAATTGTGTCTGGTCTTTGTATTGATCAGAGTATTTAAGTCCTCAAAGTTGACTGACTTTACAATGTTGCTATGGTAGAAATTGCTCTCCTGGTTCTGCTCACTTCACTCTGCATCAATTCATACAAGTTTTCCCAGGTTCTTCTGAAATTGTTCCTCTAACATTTTTTTACAGCACAATGGTATTCCATCGTATACCATTATCTGTTCATCCATTTTTTCAATTGATGGGCACCCCTTTAATTTATACTTCTTTGCTGCCACAAAAGGGGCTGCAATAAATATATTTTTGAACATGATTCCTTTTCCTGGTCACATTATTTGCTTGCCAATTGAATAATATGTCCTGCAATCTTTTGCTTAATCACCAATGAAAAAAGAGGAACCATCAAAAAAACAGAGGTATTTGAGGCATTCCTTCCCTCCAAAAGGAAGAGGTAGATAGATTATTCAATTGTCAAACACCTCAAACAACATAAGCATTAGAAAAGTAAACAAACCTAATCATAAAAATGAAAATAATGAAGTCAATTATCTTATGTTTGTAGATTATTGTTTTTTCAAGAGTTGATGTGTGGTGTAAAAGAAACTATAATACTAATCACTATATGTTATGTCTACTTTGTTTTTATTACCACATGATTGTTGAGTACCACGTTGCAATGGGAAGTCAGATACATTGGCATGAACCCGATATTGAGGGTCAGATGACCAGGTTGTGGCTTGATCACTTGTTACTTACACGGGCAAGTCACTTCACATCTCTGAATCTGTCTTTTCATTTTTGAACTAGGCTTTCCTCTTCCAGCTCTCAATACAAAGCTATGATCTTATGAAGCACTCCCAATATGTATATTTAGGGGGAAGGGGGCAGACCTATGAATTCACCAATGTAGGCAACTCCTAGTGGGGGAACTCTCTCCATCACTGCAGATTGCCTGTAAGTATAGTCTTAGAGAATCACCTGGGGACTTGCCCGTGGTCATACAACTGGAATGTATCAGAGGTTGGGCTCAAGCCCACAGATTCCTAATTCCAAGGCCACTCTTCTATGCAACACTGCTGCTTAATTATTAAACTTATTCATCGTTCATCAAATATTCCCAGTGATTCATTTCAGAGGTTTAATTCATCTAAATACAGAATGCCAGAATCTTGAAGAACCTGCAATTAAAAGTCTTTTCAAGCTCCCATAGTTTAATTGTACAGAGTAGATATTAGTAATTATGTCAGGGGGACATCCAAGAAATATTCCAACTTCGATCAGATTACGTCCATTGTGAAATTATATGACAAATATAAAGGGGTAACAGTATGAAAAGGGAAAGCAATAGTGAAAGACATCACAACTTGTCAATGCATTGAGTGATCTTGACTTCAGAGGACTAAGGGTGAAACATACACCTCCCTTCTTTTTAGCAGAGAGGTGGTGGATGCTGGGAGCTCAATGAGGTACACAGATATGGCCAATATGTTCGGTTTGTTTGTTTGTTTTGTTTAAACATGCTTCTTTGTTACAAGAGAGGGTTCTGCTGGGGGTCCTTTCCCCATTGGAGTCATTGGGCAATGACCAGGATATGTAAGAAATCAATAACATATTTATTATTTTAGAAATCTTTCATTTTTTTCCAATTACATGTAAAATTTTTTAACATTCATTTTTTTAAAACCTCAAGTTCCAAATTCTCTCTCCACCTTAACATTGAGAAGGCAAGCAATAAGAAATTAATAAAATATTTATTAAAAAATGAAAGGTACAGAAAATATAAAGCTTAAAAATATAAAATTCTGTTTCCAAAACATTGCTAGAGTTTGCTCAGATTACCAAGAGATGTTTTTTATGAAGTCCTCAGAAATAGCAGAGTGTAATCAATAGAGTACTGGATTTGGACCCAGGGGACCTGTGTTCAAATTCTTACTCTGGTACTTAGCTTTTTCACTCTGTGCATATGCCTTAATCTCTCTGAATCTCAATTCCCTTATCTGCAAAATGGTGATAACCATGCTTACAGTGCCCACCTCACGAAGTTCTGTTATGAAGCCTCTGTTGGGTACACTTTGATGCACATTGGTGTGCATTTTTACTGCACCAAAACCCCAAAGAATTTCTTGCTTTAACTCCTCTATTCCATTTGAATTTTTATCATTTCTAGAAACAAATACGAATGTTTTGAGTTCAGGAAGGAAAGAAGAAGTTGTCACAAAAAAGTGGAAAGGCAAAGAGAAGAAGAAAAAGAAGAAAAAGAAAATTCCCAAAGAAAGTGATGATATGGATGAGTCCTGGGAAGAAGAAGTAGAGAACCTGGTAGCCTGGACCAACGAACTCAACACGACTACATTAGAAGACTGAGCTTCACACATATGGGGAAGAAAGAACTCCCTTCTGCCTTCCCCAGGGTCAGCGCACTTTGTGGAGCCTGCTGCATCCGCCGGTTCCGGTCTTTCTGAAATCTTCTCATCCTGCTGAGCAGCAGAATTAAAATATAGATGAAACTCATTGGAGACACACAACTGAATAGCAATTTGCTTCAGTGTTTTGTACTAAGAGTTGTTGAGAAATAGAACTGTCACTGGTACTGTTTTTGTCCAGGGCACTGGGTTCAAAATGCAGGCTCGTTTAACTGGGGGCATGAAGAGAGCCAGGGACACCACCCCAATGGTGGGAGATGAAAAGCCCTGTGGATACCTAGAGAAATGGGACCTGTTGCAAGGTGGGCAACGAGAAGAACACGTTAACGGATGAGTCCAGCTAACTAGATGCTAAGCTCTGTTATTTCTATGCTACTAAAACGTATTGCAATTTAGCGGAAGGGTGGTGGGGCAAACGTGGTGGGGGCGTTCCAGTTTGAGACTATGGGCCAACATGAGAAAGTGGGGCATCTGAGGAGAGAGACTGTAGGAGGTGGAAGAGGATTACAGAGAGGAAAGTGGGAGGGCGCTCAAGACGGATTTTATTTTGTTAAAGTTTGACCTGAAGTCCATCCTCATGGAAAGGAAGAGAAAATTCTCTTCTTCCTCCTTTCTATGCAACATTCTCTCAGCTCCTACTCCTGGGATCCAGAGATAAGGTTAATATGTGAAAACTATAACTGCGGTTCTGCTACGGGGACCCTAGCCCACGTTAGAAATATCATTCCCATGGGAAAATGCATTTCAAGTTCCAAATGACTAACTTTCGGACTGCTTTGGATAGCACAGCCCTACAGGATGGCAGACTATTTGTTCTCAATTCACTTCAATTTCAGTTCAAATGGGAGAAGAGAAATGAATTCCTATAAATCATAAGATGAGAAAAGCAAAGTAGCCTTAATGTACTGCAATGATCAGAGTCGCCTCTATTCCACATTTCCAAATACGAGTCCATGATCCAGTGTTTAAACTTATTGTGCCAATTATTTCTAGGGTAAACAATACAAATATAGTTTTATGTCAAGAAGGACCAATGACATCATCTGCCATTGCGTCAATTGTATGGTCTAACTACAGAAAGGAATGTCAGTGGATTTAGCACAGTCATGAGAAGAGGGCATTTTATTTGTCTCTGATGGTATCAGATAGTGCTCTTTTTGTACTTAGGATCTCTCATCTGTCATCCATCTACTGGAGTATTCAGTTTGGAGGTTGTCTTTAATCTGATTTCAACTTTTCATTCACATTCTTGGGGTCCCCATGTATATTGGCTCCTGGTTCTGCTCCACTCTATATCACCTCATGTTATTATTCCTATGCTCTCTTGCCTTTCCTTCTTTCCTTCCTCTGCCCTTCTTCCTTTCCTTCCTCCCTCTCTCCTGCCTTCTTTCCTACTGTTTCACTATAGTGAATTCTCAGTGCAAAAACTACCAATGCAGATGCACTTTCCTGCCATTGGTACTCTTGAGAGGTCTGCTGCATAAGGATACTGAGAGGTCAAATTACTTGCCTAGGGTCACACAGTAAGTGTCCAAGTTCAGATTTAAATCCATATCTCCCTGACACCAAGACCAGCATCCTACCAGATCACCTCACTTTGTTCATCATTCATAAAGGTGCATTCTCCAATACACAGACCATGATTCGTTCAGCCCCTTCCCCAATCGAACAACACTTACTTTGTTTCTAATTTTTTGCTATCACAAAATTGATTGGAAAATGCTAGTAGACGTGAGGGCTTCTGTCCTTAAAACCCTTGGGGGCATGTGGCAAGCAGAAGGCTCTCTGGATCAAGGGCGTGAAGAGTTTGGTAAAGAAGTATTTGAGATGTGTCTCCTCCACTAATATCAAGGCTATCTTGGTAAAGCGAAAGGGAGAACTGAATCAGTTTCCAGGTCATTGGCCAGTGGAATGGAAGGGCTAGGTTTGAGAGAAAGCCCAGGTGCAAAGACAGATCGCACCTGCACTTGATTTCATCACTTCGCCTTGGGCCAGCTGACTCCTCTGCTCTTTGGAGGGGAATTGAGATGAGTCAGATTTACACCCACTGCTGTACCAGGAATGTCCCACACTAGGCTG